CCGCCGTTTTCGGCGCCGTGACTCTTTCTGTTGTTGAGAAATCAAGATTTGAAAATCGGTCCAGGGGGTGTGTTATCTTGTGTCATATACGGTAACCATTTGGGCTTAACCTGCTGGGCTTATCGTTTTCGGGCTAACCTTTTCGGCTTTACTTTTTCGGTGTAACCTCTTCGGCTTATCATTTTGGGTTTCAGGTTGTGGGTTTCACGCTTGTTTGGTTCATCTTTTTCGGCCTACGTGCCTTTTCTGTTTCATGTTTTCGGCTTAACTTTTTCGGTGTAACCTTTTCGGCTCAATCTCTTCCGCTCCACTTCTTCGGCTTAGCTTTGTCGGTGTAATCTGTCTGGCTCAACCTTTTCGGCTTATGCTTTTCGGTCCTTTCCGGTTTCACGTTTTGGGTTTCACGTTTGGGTTCGGTTTATCCTATTCGACTTATTTACCCTTTTCAGTTTCAGGTGTCCGGCAACTTTCGGTTTAATTTTTTCGGCCCATTCTTTTCGGTTTCGGGTTTTTTGCTTAACTTGTTTGGATTTTTCAGCCTAACCTTTTCGGCTTATCCTTTTCGATCCTTTTCGATCCTTTCCGATTTCACGTTTTCGGTTTCACGTTCTCGGCTTAGCTTTTTCCGTTTACTCTTTCGGCTTAAGATTTTGGGTTTCATGTATTCGGCTGAACTTTTTCGGATTAATCTTTTCGGCTCAACCTGTTCGGCTCAAACCTTTTCGGCTCAACCTTTTCGGCTTCACGTTTTGGTTTCCACGTTTGTGTTCGGTTAATCCTTTTCGGCTCAACCTTTTCGGCTTAACCTTTTCGGCTTAACCTTTTCGGCGTAACCTTCTACGGTTTCACGTTTTTGGTTTCACGTTTGTTCGGTTTATCCTTTTCGGCTCAACCTTTTCGGTTTCACGTTTTCTGCTTCACTGTTTCGGTTTCATGTTTTCGGTTTCACCATGTCGGTTTCACCTTTTCGGCTTAACCTTGTCGGTTTCACCTTATCGGCTGAACTTTTTCGGTTAAACCTTTTCGGTCCTTTTCGGTTTCACGTTGTCGGTTTCACGTTCTTTTCGGTTAAACCTTTTCGGCTTAACCCTCCTAGTACGAAAGCCCAAATGGGGACACTTTGGGGACACAACACTCAAATGCCTAATTACATCACTCACNTTTGGGGACACTATTCATTCTGAAGCCAAGTCACCCTTTGTGTGGCAAGGAGCTCAGATTCTTTGGATGGACTGTTGTAGCACCCCGACCAATGGCTGACAAACACTTTTGCGACATTTTCTTTCTGCGGAGGGACTGGGTACTAGAAGGGTTAACCTTTCTTTTCGGTTTCACGTTTTTGGCTTAACTTTTTCGGCTTGTCTTTTTCGGTCCTTTTCCGTTCAACGTTCTCAATCCTTTTCGGCTTCTCCTTTCCGGCTGAGCCTTTTCGGTTTCACGTTTTTGGTTTGACGTTTGTTTTCGATTTATCCTTTTCGGGCTAGCCTTTTCGGTTCCACGTTTTCGGTTCAATCTTTTCGGCCTAACCTTTCCGGTTTCGTGTTTTCGGCTGAACCATTTCTGTTTCGGTTGAACCTATTGGGTTTGATCTTTTCGGCTTATCCTTTTCGGTCCTTTTCGGTTTCACGTTTTCGGAATAATGGCCTGTTCGGCTCCTCTTCGCCTCAACCTTTTCGGTTTCACGTTTTCGGATTAACTTTTTCGGTCGACTATGTTCGGTATAATTTTTTTCGGCTAATCCTCTTTGGTTCAATTCGGTTTCACGTTCTCGGTTTCTTTCACGTGTTCGGCTTTTCCTTTTTGGCTCAACCTTTTCGGTTTCACAATTCTCCGCTTAGCTTTTTCGGCTTATCATTTTCGGCCTATCCTGTTCGGTCCTTTTCGGTTTTACCTTTTCGGTTTCACGTTTCGGCTTAGCTTTTTCGGTTTCATGTTTCGGCCATACTGTTTTCGGTATCATTTTTTCGGCTAAACCTGTTCGGTTTCATGTGTTCGGTTAAACCTTTTCGGCCCATCCTTCTCGGCTTATCCTTTTTGGGTCCTTTTCGGTTTGACGTTTTGGCTTTCACGTTTGTATTGGGTTTATCCTTTTCGGCTCTACCTTTTCCGTTTCACGTTTTCGGCTTGGATTTTTCGGTGTAATCTTTTCGGGTGAACCTTTTCGGTTTATCCTTGTCGGTCCTTTTCCGTTGAACTTTTGCGGTTTCACGGTTCGGCTTAACGTTTTCGGTTTCATGTTTTCGGCTCATCCTTTTCGGTTTATCTTTTTCGACTTAACCTTTTGGGCTTAACCTTTTCGGGTTAACCTTTTCTGTTTCGCGTTTAAGGTTTCGCGCTTATCTTCGGTTTATCCTTTTCGGCTCAACCTTTTCGGTTTCACGTTTTCCGCTTAACTATTTCCGTGTGACCTTTTCGGCTTATCCTTGTCGGCTTCACGTTTTCGGCTGAACCATGTCGGTTTCACCTTATCGGCTTAATCTTTTCAGTTTATCCTTTCGGTCCTTTTCGGTTTCACGTTGTCGGTTTCACGTTTTCGGCTCAACCCTCCTCGTACGGAAGCCAAATGAGGACACGTTGGGGACACAACACTCAAGTGCCTAATTACATCACTCACTGTAGTCGCCCTAGGCTCCGCTGTGTGCAACGCACGTGAGAACCCTTGGTATTCTGCTCTGACTGAGTGGGTACGCTGTGTGATATGCTGCGTGATGCCTCCGCTGGGCCTCTGACTTGCTGTACATACCTCCCCACCCACATNTTCATTCTGAAGCCAAGTCACCCTTTGTGTGGCAAGGAGCTCAGATTCTTTGGAGGGACTGTTGTAGCACCCCGACCAATGGCTGACAAACACTTTTGCGACATTTTCTTTCTGCGGAGGGACTGGGTACTAGGTCTTGGTGATAAGCTTGCGGCGATGGCGCGTCGGGCTTGACCGCGTTGGAAAGCTTACCGCAGGTGCTCGCTGAGAATCAAGACAACCTGCTGTACGCGAGAGTTGGAACACGGCTGAGTGCTCTTACGCAACTCCGTGCCCCTCAGAACGATGAGATACAAGACGTTGTTGATGATGTCGTTATTACGTAATTACAGGCTGACCCCAGGGCCTGGTTTTGATGTTGGAAGATTAGAGTGAGAGAGAGAGGCGCGCGGGCCAGCTGTCGATCACTAAAACATTAGAAACAATATCTACTGTTGGGGTTCCCCCGAAAACTATAAGCGGCGAGTCTCAAAGGCTGGGTGATACTGCAAACCATCGAGAGCAAGGGATTCAGCCATTGCGTCGAGAAACTAACGCCGAAAGCTTATGCCTGGTGTTACAACAACAGGCCCGGATGCAACCGCGTAGAAGCTCGTCATGATTCCAATGCTCTATATTGGCCACCGACACCTTTTGCGACACGTATAAAAAATGTTCTGTTCCCTGCGCTAGCGGGCTCAGAAATGCAAGCCAGACAACATGCCTTCCCACAAGCGCTTTCACCGCCGCTTGGACTGTCGGACAGATGGATCTGAGTGACATCAAAACGCAACGTCAAATTGCCTTGGACATCTTGTCGGCGCTGGATGACAAACGCGACGCTTTGAAAATACTTCAACACAAAAGGGCCACCGGGGAGCCATCTCCCAGAACCGCCGCACGGTACATACGGTCACTCACCTCTTCGGGGTGTGGTAGCTCGCGTGGCCATTTCGGGCGGGATAAATTACCAATCGCTCGCCGCCGACGCAATCGCCACCGCTGCCACTGCCTCCTTGCGATACCGCGTCAGCGGCTCCGCAGGGCACTGGAGCACCGCCGCCACTCCCGGCGCCCCCTATCGTAGATGCTTCAGAAAAATACATCTCGAGGAACTCGCGCGTGGACCCCGGCGCTTCCGGAGCGACGCCTGGGTGCACGGCTGTTTCCCAGGCTTCCACCTACGCGAGGGGGCGTGCACAAGTTCTGCCGTCGTCAGGCAGTTGGTCGTCGAACAACACGACTACTTCTGTCGTGCTGTCAATGGAACCAGATAGATCTGTGTGCCAACGGCGTGAGTTTCGCTGCCAGCAGACCGGCCTATATTTTTTTCCGTAAGACAATAATCTATCGGTATGCAGCATACGCGCGTGCTGTTGCTGCCAACATACAGATGTGTCGCATGCCAGCAGACGAACCTACGGAAACACAGTTTAGACGGGTACTATTGCTGCCAGTAGATATCCATCAATATGCAGCATACGCACCTCCCAGAAGCAGTCGGCAGCAGCAGTAGTAGCGTTGTCAAGAAACCGGTTTTCCCGGGCATACGGGGCAGATGGAGGAGGGTATGGCAGGCGGCTGAACGTTTAGCGTGACCAGCTGGCTGACAAGTGCCGCCGTTCGAAGCAAGATCAATGTGTCGAAACTGCCATATGTTTAGCACCCCTCAATGCCTGACCTGGCGGTAGAACTCTTTCGATGGAATCCACTTGCCCTCGCCGGTGCTATGAGCGGCGAAAAACGCTTCCAAGATCCTGCATCATAGCAAGATAACGAGTGATACCAGGCACCGAACGGTCATACGCATAGCGTTGATTGGTGGATTGATGAACAGCTTCTTCGAGGGATGAGACTTTATTATCGTTTGGGTTGGTACAACCCCCCCCCCCCGCCGAACAAAAAGTGTGTAGTGGTGCTTTAGGCAGCACCTGAGGTCCATGGATTTTTGTTTGCAGGCCACGAGAGGGAACCCTAGCACGATCACGACAACGCCCTGGGGCAGGCACTCAGGCTGCGCCGACGGAACAAACTCCTGCTCGCACATTCTGGCAACTACATGGTTGTAGCGGATCGGTGTGAGTTAATCCATGTAGACCCACGATTCCGGGTTACGTGTCTTATTTAGGTGGGGGGAAGGAAACAATCGATCGTATCGATGGACTACCCGCAAAATACGGGGGGGGGGCATGATCAGTCTTCGTCGAAATCCGAATATCTTCAACCGTAAGAGCAGAAATCATCCACAAGATTGGGCTTGAAGTCAGCCCCTCATGGTCCTCCTGTTGATGAACACGAGTCGCCATCTTGACTTCAGGCCGGGCGTCGATATCTTTGCCTACCAGCCAGGATCTGTAACGACGGAAACTCAGTACCCACATCATTCTCCTCGCGTCCACGCGGATGGTAACGTGCTCCAGGTCCCCGGTGTGTACCCCGACGGAAGTGCCCGGAATGGCGAACGTCGTCCCGTTGTAGCCATAGAGGAAGGCGTATTTCAACTCGTACACGGGTCCCACCCCTTGATGCCGTTGGGCGTGGTGAGTGACGAGAACATAAGGGGAAAGTTGACGACCGTGGCGATACGGGCATTCCGGGTGGAAGAGGAACACGTGTGTGCAGTATTCCGTAGCTTGTGAGGCTAAATATCTTGTCTTTGCTGTGGGCGCGATCCGCAACTGATCGCCATGGGCTCTCCCCAGCTGAAAAAACGAAATTTTCAGAAATCGTTTTTTTGTCTCGCTTTCAAACGCTCAAAACCGGCGTCTAAAAAGTTGAACAAAAAAAATCCGTTCGGGATTGCTTTCGTTTTTTTTTTCGTCGTGTTGCCGATATTTGTTTACGTTGTTCACCTCGGCAATCGATTCCGCTTGGCCGAATTCGGGGGGGTAGAGCCACTCAGAAAATTGCCCAGACAAAAACTCAGGTGGGCAGAGGCAATTTAGTAAACGAGATTTTGGTTGCATCCTTGAGGAAAAAGGCATTTTGGTACACCTATTTCTCAAAGACAACACCGAACTGCGTCATTCTGATGGGAGCATCGTGATCCCCACCCTAGTATTGCCCAGAATTGAGACTTTGAGCCCGTAGGACCGGGTATTTAATGTTGCGAGGGGAGGGGATGCTAACCTTCCATCCCCGCCATTTGGGCGTTTTGGGATAGCTGTAACTCAATGCGATCGACGAATTTGGAGATTCGCAAATCTCGACCCGATTTAACCCTACGTTGAAATTTTCAGGCCGATCACAGCTATCGAAGAGGGGGGGGATATTATCGGGCCATCCCCGCTTTTTGGCGTTTTGAGAGTTTTTCCTGCAGGAGACAGCACACCCCATTGAAACCCAGGTGTACTAGCAACGACTTTCCCCCAAATCTCAGGGGGTGGTCGAATAGAGCATTATGAACACACCAAAAAAAAATCAGACCTTACCCGGGGATGGTCCATCACCATTCCCCCCCACTAAAATTTCATGACGGTCAGTTGCGGATGGCGCCTACGAAGAGTAGGATACCAGCGACTGGATGGAGGCCAGAACGTTTATTTCTGTGAGGACAACAACACCCGAAACAACAACAGCAATAAATACAGCTGCAGTAGCAGCACAACACCGAAACGGAAACAAGAGCAAGAAAATTGACCGACAGCAGCCGCTACCGTCGCCACCATGCGGCCTACCAACATACTCTCGAAACACGACAATAACAAACAGCAACAACGACGGATCTCGACGCGGTGTATCCAGAACTGGAACACAGTACAGACTGCAAGTGGTGGGTGACAAGGCTCAGTCACTTTCACTATTTTAGAAAGTGGCTTGTGTGTTTCCGGCTCAAGACGCCAGTACGACCTTGTCAGTTCTTTCCCTCTAGAAACCACGACTATGTTTCATTCGAGTGCTGTCCGTGCGTGCGGTGGCCGACGTGGTCAGAGTGGATTCTTGTGCGAAATGATAGTATAACGAATCACCTCTCCAGCGATCGCAAACACTTTGTCAACGATAGCTTAAATTTCCTTTCGAAATGACAAAAACAACAGACAGGTTGGGTTCTACCGCGATTGGCTTTGCCGATGATCTGACCACGCCGGATATGTTGGTCACTCCAGCATGGAAAGGCTACCTCGGAAGCTCACCAGCTCTCCTGATGAACGGTGCGACTGCGGACGGATCGAGTGGGTCGGCAAACGCGTAGCACGGCACCTTCGACAAATCTCTCTCCTGGCCTCCCCACACGCAGGAGTGCGGCTCTAACCTGTGGCCACCGCCGTGTAGTACGCGTGGCACGAGACAACAGAGGCATACAATTGATATAGTCACCGCAGGCGTCAGTCATGTGCCCCCTAACTTGTTGGTTGGAGCTGGTTGCCCTTCTCAATGTTGAAGTTATCGAGTGCGTGACGAGGAGAAAAAAAGGTATCTGCTGCAGTTCATGCAGTCGTCAGAGCGCCCTGCGTGTACCCCCTACGCCGTTTGGTTGGAAAACAACTTGTTGCCCTTCTCGATGTTGAGATTGTTGAGAACTTTATCGGACCCGTCTCGTCCCTTCCCGACAGGTTTTACGTCATAGAAGGCAGGTGTACGGTCATAGAGACCGCCAATGCGCGATAGCGACTAGGTATGGGAGGAGATGGCGAGCCAAGAGGTAGCACGTTGTCTTGCCGGAAGACAGTCACGGGGCACCAGGACGACTCCCCGTACTTCGCTTCTTTTTTTTGCTGGGCTTGCGTGTCGATATTTGACCGCACAGGGGTAGGGGTATGCTCGTAGCCGCGCATGCAGTAGTCGTGAGACCATTGACCCCGCATCCCTTCGTGGCCACACGCTCGGTAGCACCGCTTCAGCGGTCAGGCTGGGGTGTTGGGCGGGAGGGTTACGACACACTTCGCAAAAGACAATGCACATCGAGCGATCTACGACTGCAGCAAGAAACAGAGTAGGGCATGGAACGGGCGTCAACACCATTTCGGAAGGGTGCGAGGAGCGGCGACCGGGAAGCCTCGAGTTCACTACTCGAGTAAGACTGTTGTATCCGCCAGTTAGGATTGAACGGATGGATGATCTTCTAAAAACGAGGGCTGTGAGACTCAGATAGGAGCAACAACAGGGACGACAATGGCCTCAACACCACTGCATGAGGGTAGCAGGAGGTTCGAGCAAGAGTGCTGTAGACATCACTTCGTCGCGACACGCTGCTAGGGCTGGTGTGGGATCCTTCCCTTAAATGATCGTAAGGCTCAAAGGGGCAACAGCAGGGACGACATCAGCCACATCATCACTTCGAGAGGGTTCGAGGCGCAGTGCTCGGCAACACCCAGGCATCATCCTGAGCATAACACTGCCGACGTAAGGCACAAAGGAAGGAGCAGCGGTGGATCGGCCCCGACATACTTCTAGAGGGTACGGAAACCTCTGCGCCGCTTCGAGAGGGTACGAGGGGAGCGATCAAGATCTATCGAGGACACCCCGATACGAGACAAGGTACCGTGGAAATAGGTCGGGAATCGGGAGCGCCGGAAACAATCTCACTGGCGACAGCGTCGCCAGGAGAACCGTGGAAGCGGTGAGGGATGTAAACATAGGCGACAGCACCCACCCCACCGGTCACAGCGCTAACAGCCCCGTCAACACCATTCGCGGCCTCAAAAATTTCGACGGGAAGAGCCCGGGCAAATTCAAGGGGTGCAGGAAGAAGCTTTGGGTCGCCTTGGGGGTTATCCATGGGGACATCCTTCCTCTTCGGATTAATCAACTCCAAGCCGGACGCCAGCGACACGATGTAGCTTGTGCGAGATACAGAACGGTAAACGAGGACTTCTGCGCCATGCTATATCTACCTGCTGTACCTACCTGCTGGTCGAGCTACCTGCAACCCGAAGTCCAGATCAGCGATGTCGAATTGTGCCATAAGGGACGACAGGGACGACAGTGTGGACTTGTACTCACCGGTGTCGCCAAACCCGATCTTCGACAGCCTATTGGCGACGATCAACATTTTTGCGCTGTTCTGAGGCGCGTTCGCCTAGTCCATCACGTTGTCCGTTCTCCAGTACACCTCAAGATCGTCGGTCTTGTAGGTCGGACGGCAGTTTTTGTGTGGTCTTCTACATCATCGTGGACGATAAGATTCTCGTCCGCGAGGATGTGAAAGATCAACACAAAAACGGCCGTCCCGCCAACAAGGCCGACGATTTCGAGGTGTGCTGGAGAACAGACAGGCTGAAGGACAAGGCGTACGCGCTTCAGAACCGCAGGAAAAGGTTAATGTCCGCCAGCTGTCTAAGATCGGGTTTGGTGACACCACTGAAGAGAAGACCACGCTGGCATCTTTTTCAGTCGTTCGAAGGCACTAATCGATATCAGCGACCTGGACTTCGTGCGCCAGAGCACCACTTGGAGCTTTTTGATGATTAGTGGGACGAAGAACAACAAAGACGACGGAGCCTAGTGTGCGAGTTCGAGCTCAGCGTTCATCTCGGAGAAAGATTGGCAGTGTGTGGCACGGGTGCATGGTCGCGTTCTATGTAACAACGTGTATCTGGTCTTGTCTATTCCTCCTGGAAAACATGAGCAGCGCGGTGGCCGTGCACTCTTTGCAAGAGGGGCAATCACACCTGAACTCATTGAGACCCTTGTCTCGTAGTTGCGCTTCCAGCAATGTTGCAGTACTCCAGCTCTGGGCACCCAACGGTAGGGCCACTAGCACCCATCCTCCCTTCGAAGGGAAACGCCAGCCTTGCCTCTGACCGCATTCTCCGCAAGCCTGGTGCATTCTCTCTTGTTGGTGCTGATCGTGAGCAGCGGACCCACCATCGCCATCTGCTGTGTTGGAACTAGCATCCTCCTCCTCCTCCTCCTCCTCCTCCTCCTCCTCTTCCTCCTCATCGTCTAGATTAATCTGTTCCATAGTCTGTTCAATACCCCCGGGTGTCTTCGGTCTCCTTAGCAGTAGCGACGAGGAAATGAACGTCTCGACGGACACAGGGTAGTGCTTTTCACCCGCATCAAATTTCACAACCGGAGAGAAGTAGGCCAGTAGCTGGGCCTGCGGGGTTGTGGTCCAGTTGCAAGAGAAGCGTGTCAGTTGATGGAACACTGGCGTTTCGGTTGACAAACGATGGCAGATGGGGAATCACACGCCCTGCTCCATTTGCCAACGATCTCTTTATATCCTCGATTGGTGCAGTTGTTGTGGAATACTTCTGGAGGGGAGTGGAACAGCAGCACTCTGCCGCCATACCTTCAGCTCTCCTTTTCTGGTGTCCATAGTAAGTTCTCGGTGGTGAACATGTACGCTGCTTGTGCAACAGGCTTCGCTCTCCTCTCCCCTCCCTTCTCCCCTGAAGCACCCAAACAACAACTGCTTCAATGAAGAGTGGCAGAGTCTTTCCGCCTGTGCCGCTTCGGAACGGGAGAACCAACCGCACCAGGGTTCCAAACCAAGTTCAGAGCTGCAAGCTTGCAAGCAAGCTACAAGCTTGCACGCAAGCTACAAGCTGCAGCTACGGCCTGCAGAGAGCAGACAGCAGAGGGCAGCGAGCAGAGAGCAGCGAACAGAGAGTATTACAGTGATCAGTCACAGCGACAGCATGCAGCAGATGAGGCGCCCCAGATTCACCTCTTTCTGGTGAACTCCACCCTGCATACATACCGTCCGCGATCTTGGTGGCGTAGCGTCTAGAAGCAAAAAAGGTCACACGAGCCAGATTTATCTGGATATTCCCTCGGCCGCCTCAGCCGCCCGCGGATTTCTCGACGTTGATCACTTTATAAAGTGCATCACAAGCTGAGACCGTCCGTGGGAGCACTGTACGAAATGTTGCACACTGGTCGTGCCGTCAGACCCTTTTCGATTGCCGTGCGATGTCGCCATGGATTCAGTACTGTGAAGGATTTTCAGGACTCAGGCTTTCCATGCCTCTGATTGGTCGGGAGTTGGTTGGCAGTCGATTCCTCTTTAGCGTCCTCTCCCTATTCCACATTCCGACAACACGCCAGGCCGCTACCACCGGAACTGGCGCCACTCGGAGCACCGCGTCCGTTGGTGGTCGGACTACACACCGCCGGAGCCCGCGGCGTTCTTCGTTTGCCGCGTGTCGTCCCATTCACCCTCTGGGAGGTCACTCTATATATGCATTTCGGTATCTTCATCTGGGTGCATCAGCCGGGAGTATACACGAGGAAAGGCCACACAAGATTTAGTTTTCTCTGTGTGCCTTCTGAGAGGTGCTCGCCCCCCTGATTATCGCGAGAAGGGGTCGGCTGCACTTGTCCTCGTCGACCGTGAAGTCGACTCTCGCGTACAGCAGTACCCACGAAATACTACGTGCGTCTATCGCTTTCCATTACATTGTGTTGACATCCATTGTGAAAAAAACCTAGCTCGTGTAACTGCGCCGGAGTTGAACCCACGTCCCACACGCCAGGTTATCAACGGAAGCACTCCAGCCACTGCTACCAACTTACGCTGCAAAAAGCAGTACACATGTTGGTTTAACCTCTAATGTGCAACGTATGCACAGCGCTGAGAATCGGTGAAACGTAACGCGAGGCTAGCAAGCGTATGCGACGAAATCGTGAGAACAATTTTTCCGGCAGGGTCAACGGCCGACCCCCCCCGTCGACGCTCTCGCATCTCCTACACCGTCATCACCGACCTAACCCCCGCACAACACGCATCTACATACCCCACCGCCGTCGCTTCTCGCAACGAAACAGACCAGGGCAATATCAGCCAACGCGAAGCAAGGCTGTCCCCACGGAGATGTAGCGCGCACAACAGCAGAATAACTGGACAAATTGCACGGAGGGATCTTGCCATAATCCCTTCCGTTCCCGCTGTCCAAGACTTCACTTTCGACGAGCTTGCCTGCGCCTGTAGTATCCAAGAAGGCCCACGGCTGCGAAAAAACATACTCCTATTTATATTACCACTGCCTATAATTTCCTGAGGGGAAAGTTTCAACCCATTGTAGCTCCCAAGTATCAAACGCACTGCGACGCAACCGACGTTTCCATTGCCGGAAAATACAACCATCGCAGGGCCGATCACATCATTTGTCACCCTCGCGTGAGACAGCAAACCTTTCACGAACGGTCGGTCAGCAGCCCTCGGTCGCAAGTTTGACGCACAGTATCTCGCCTCCTCTTCGCCGAAAAAACAAGTACTTAGCACAATTTACGTCTCATGAGAAGATAAACCCCCGCTCTGTAGAGCACGCTCATGTCAGCGAAGCGCCTTGTGCACTTTCGTTGTGGCAAGTCTACTCTTCCCTCACAATACACAATACCCACAAACGAATAAGCGTTGAACAGCGTAACGCTAAAAGTGCATCAATCTCTTACGGCCCCCCACTACGGAGCAACCACCCTCACGCTGCCCTGCCCTACACCCCGCCAAACAGACAAAACTACTGGACAACCTGCACGTTAAATAGGCTCCAAAGCATGAATCAAAAACATTTATACCAACCGCGCGTCAGACGAGCGCTGCCGGTCTCAAGGCGGTAGCCTGTCACAAACACTGGGGAACCCGTAGTCCCCCACGCTCAACTTTTTGACGCCCAACCCCAGGAGCAAATACAAGATTTCATCGGAAGCTGACAAGCGTGTATGCTTTTCCACGCCACAGACACACCGCTCGTAACGGCACTTCCTTTGCTGCCCAAAAATATCGACAGGAAAAAACAACAGTCGTGTGAGCTGATCGCAGACTCCCCCAACAAGGGCGGCGGGACTCACGACACTCACGGAGATTGGGATGCTGGCGCCACGTCCACCGCGCTCGCGGCCTCGGCGATACGCCGAGATTCGTCCATGAAGGCGCTCGGGCCGAAGGGGCCTCGCCTCGAGTTGAAGCGCCACAGGTGAGCGGCCATGCGGACGCCGAACAGCACGTACGTCATGCTCACCCAGAGGCCCAGGACTCCCCAACCTCGCCGGAGCGAGAGCACCGATCCTGCGCCGTACGCGACCAGCGAAAGAGAGAGAGAGAGAGAGAGAGAGAGAGAGAGAGAGAGAGAGAGAGAGAGAGAG